TGTCAGACTGTATCTGCAACATTGTATTCAGTTCTGAGTCCTGAGTTTCTTAGGAGGGGCACAGATAATCACTTGAATGTCTACAGGAGAGCAATTAGGATGGCAAAAGGCATATAGGGTCATGCCTCATAGGGACTGATTTAATGAACCAAGGGAACGGCAGTATGGAGAGAGGGCAGCCTTCAACATCTGGCCCCTGACGTATACCGTGTGGCCCCGGACAAATAACAAATAAAACATCGAATGGATGGCTAGAGCATGTAAAAATAACCTCCAGATTAAGATAAGGTTCTTCTCCTGCGATATAAAATCCTACCTGGTTCAATAATTGCCTTTGTGTGTACCTAGCTCGTAAGCCTCTTGGGGACAGGAATTGATACTTGGGCATCTTTTGTGCTTCGTAATGCCTGTCCTAGATCCTAGTGCTGGTCATTTAGTCCTCAAGTATCATTTGGTTGGTTTTTTTTTTAAATGTTATTCCAATTGGGAGTCCTCATGCAATAATTTTAACATGCAGTGGATGGCAGTAAAAGCCCACAAACTTTGACATATGTGAGCCAGCCTGTTTTCCTAGCACAGGGTATACCACAACCTTGCAAAGTTTTATAAACTCATTAGGCTTGAAGAATGTTTTTATTTAAACTGAAATTTAAAAAAATAGGCCTCTCAATATTCACCAGTCATACCCCCTATTCTGCTCAGGCATTTGTACCTGCTCCCCCTATCAGCATGCAAAGAGCAGCCTGACACACCAGGAGTATCTTACTTTTGCCTGCCTAATCTCCAGGCATAACAGAAATACCGACTGGTTCAATGAATTACATTGTAATAGTATCCCAATAAATATGTCAAATGTAAAAAAAAAAAAGCTACTGCAGCGAGATGTGCCAATAAATTATCATGCAGGGGCAGCTAGGTGGCGCAGTGGATAGAGCACCGGCACTGAAGTCAGGAGTACCTGAGTTTAAATCGGGCCTTAGACCAAACACTTGACATTGTGTGACCCTGGGCAAGTCACTTAACCCCAATTACCTAAAAAAAAACAAAAAAACCCAAAAAAAACCTCATGTGCTGAGAATTTTGCTGCTTTTTGCTCATGCAGCTTTTTGCTTAACCAGGTAAAGGTTACAACGAAATAGGATTCCTAAACTATAGTGGAACAATTCAACATAGTTGTAAATAAAGTCATGGTAGCTCATCCTCAGGTCTACTGTAGCCAACTGTTAAATGTGAATTACTTGTTTCCTTCTCTTGAGACCTGTTTGTTACCTCGTGTCTTCTTATTTTCAGTGGGCATGGACACCCAATCACCCAATAAGAGAAGTGTGAATCATCTAAGCATAGCCACAAATCAATATTTCTCTCTCTCTCTCTCTCTCTCTCGTTTCTGTTCTCCCTCTCCTACTCTCTTCTCTCTTTCTTTCTCTCATTGAAGGTAGTATTTTTTCCCTCACAACATTTATGTTCAAATACTTTATTATGCTTAGGTGGACAGATGGTCAGCTGTGATTCTGTGAGATTTGCTTTCAGAATGATTCTTCCACTTCTCTAGCTGGCTTATCAGCTAGAGATAAGAAGAAAGTATTAATTTTATCTCTTTATTTTGGGAAACAAAAATCATCTCCTTAAAGAGAGCTTGATTGGACCCCAAGCATTATAGACCAATGTATTTGTAATGAATAGTCAGAATGTCTTAAAAATTAATTTCCATTGAAAAACTAATTTTATACTTTGGTGGATCCATTATTTCATCAAGAGGGTACTTGGCTCTAAGCTGTTAAACATTTTTGTCACTACCTTCAATAAAAGAATAGATGATATGTTTACCAAATTTGTAGATTACACAAAACTAGGAGAGCTTAACACACTAAAGACAGGACCCAAAAGGATGTTGACAGGTTAGAGCACTAGACTGAATGTAATAAGATGAAATTCAATAGGGATAAACGTAAAGTCTTGCGCTTGGGAACCAAAAATCAACTCCATAAATACAAGACGGGGGAGGCATATATGGACAGATATTCTAAAAAGGATCTGGGTACATTAGTGAACTGAAAGTTCAGTGAGTCAATAGTGTGATTTAGCTGCCAAAAAGACTATTATAATCTTGGGCTGCCATATTAGGAGAGTACAGCTTCCAGGAAAAGGTGGTTGATAGCTCTTGACTGACTTTAGCTGTAATCTTGTATTCTAGGTGCCATGGTTTAAGAAGAACATTGATAAAAGCTGGAGACTCTACAAAAGAAGGCAACCAGAATGTGATGGACCTTGAGTTCACAATAAATGAGTATGAGTTGGAAGAACAGGACCTATTTGGCTCGGAGAAGAGAAGGCACAACAGGACATGATACCTGTGTTTGAGAATTTGAAGAGTCATCATATGGGAGAGAGGTTGAATTTGTTCTGTTTGGTGCCAAGGGGAATAACCAAGAACAATGTGGGAAAGTTGCAAAAAAAAAAAAAACTAACTTAGGTTGGATGTCAGGAAAAATTCCCTAACCATTAGAGCTGTCAAAAAGTGTTATGGGTTGCCTCAAGAGGTGGTAAATTCACCACTCCTTGGAGGTCTTCGAGCAAAGGTTGGATAATCACTAGTTAGATGTATGACGTATTCATGAATGAGTTGGATTAGATGTCTGCTAATGTCTCTCCCAGTTCTCACATTCTGTGATTCTCTAATACAGCTCATTAACCTTCCATGTCTTATCCACTGGGTCAGTTACAAAATTGTGGCTTTTTTCATTTTTTGATCCCAAACCACATCTTCCAGCAACTGTTTTTTCTGTTTTCCAGTGCCCACTTTTGCACTGAAATTGTCAAGTAACAAAATACATGTTGGCATTTTTTTTTAGAAATTTTTTAAATACAAAGAATTTTTACATTTCCTTATTGTCTGAATTGGTGATAGTACATAAGTTGCAATTATTTTTATGGTGGTTTGATTGTAGAGAGCACTGGAAGATGAGATGCCTAAGCATTCATAAAATATTTTTCATTGCCTCTTGGCAAATGAGCAAACCACTAAAACCATGGGTTATGAGCCCTTATTGATGTGCTTACCTTTGATAGTAATCAGAGAGTTAATGAATAATGGCACAGTAAAAAAAAAAAGTAGTGAACGATCTTTTGCTCACAAAGACATCACCAGTGGGAAGAATAGACACATGTAGATAACATAAGTTCAGGGCATGCATATGGAAGAACATACATGTAAGGAACATCTATGACTATACTTACATGAAGGGGCACATGTAGAGAACATGTGTGGAGAAGGTTTGTGGGGAAAGACAAAAAAGAGGACTTTTTTGGGAAATGATGAATTTAAGACTATGTCTATGCAACATCCATTTCAAAATGTCCAATAGGTAGTTGGCGATGTGGGACTGGAACTTAGTAGTTAACATGACGGCTGTTTACACATATTTGTGAATCATTTGCCTAGAGATGACAATTGATTACCAAGTGAGATAGTATAGAGAGGGAAAAGAAAAGGGTCCAAGATGGAGCCTTAGAGGGTTACCCCAATTAGTGGGTATGGCATGGCTAAAGTTCCAGCAAAGGAGACTAAAGAGCGGTAATCAGGTAAAAGAACCAAGAGGGAGCAGTATGAGAAAAAACACAGAAGAGATAGCATCCAGGAGGGAGAGGTGATCAACAGTATCAAATGTAGCATAGAGGTCAAGAAAAGGCCATTGGATTATGCGATTGAGAAACTATCAGTAATTTAGGAGATAGCAATTTCAGGTGAATGATGAGGTTGAATGCTAGATTGCAGATTTAGGACAGAGTGAGAAGTAAAGATGGATGGATTTTTTTCAAGGCCTTTAGCTGAAAAGGGAAGAAGATACATATGATGATAACAGGGATGGTAGGATCATGCAAGAATTTCTCAAGAATTGGAGAAATGTGAGTATGTTTATAGGCATCATGTAAGGAGTCAATAAGTTGTGGAGAGAGAGAGATCCTACTGAGAAAGATACCATAGGAAGTATGAGGAGAGATAAGATGATCATGGACATCCAATCCAGTGAGTGGGGCAATGAACTACCTAGGGTGGAGAAGAATTGCCTTGCTGCAATAAGGAACCAGTTGAAATTAAATTACTCTTGTAGTGGACTCAGCCAGCAGTTTTGCGTCTTCCTCCAGGGCTATTCAGAAGCACACAAATTGAAGTGGAGGAATAGATGGTGGGAGCACTACAGAGTTGGGGTTTAGCAAGGTGTGAATGATGACAGATTAAAAGGTGAGATGAAAAAATTACTGAGACCCTAAGGGAACCTCTAGCCTAGAAAGTGGCAGATGAAACAAAATTGCCTTTGAACACAGTTGTAAAATCTTACAGAAGAGGGTGGTTAAAGATTATGAGTAGTGTCAGCTCATAGAACATCAAGAAGCAATGGAAGAAAAAACATGTACTGGAGGATTTAGCAGAGATCCAATTAAGCAGGAGTAGGCAATAGTTTGTGGAGTTGGCCTGGAAGAGGTGTGGGGCCTTGTTCTGGGGCAAGATGAAGCAAAAGCTTTCCTCTCAGAGTCCCGCTTTCCACAAAGAGAATCCAAGTAGATGAAGAATGCCTTTTGTCCTAACTGTGGTTGGATGGATAATCCATGGAGAGTCTATATTATCTAATCTAATTTATCTATCAACTCTAGCATCTATCATCTGTCATCTATTGATCTACACATATCATCTATCTAAATCTATCTGTCCACCCATCCATCTATCAATGTCTATCTGTTTATCTGTCTGTCTGTCTTGTACAGAAACTGCAAATGGACAATGAGTTGGGCCAAGAATTGAAGAGGAGGAAAGCAGCCTATAGACTGCTTTTGAGAAACTGCAAAGCTTTTTAAAAAAATGACCCAAACTTCTTAAAACAAAGCTCATTTTTTTTTTTAATACAAATATTCTTCCACGAAGTAATGGTACATAGTAGGCACTTGTTAATTGATTAATGCCTATGAGTCGTGGAATGTTACAAACTCCAAGGAATTGAGGTTGATAACACAAAAGGCAATGGAGAGATGGATGAGATGGATGGTAGGTGTATGCAAAGCACATGTTACAAATAATTAAAAAGGATAAAGAGTATAAAAGATGTCATCAAAGAACTGTTTGCTTTAAAAAATGTTTGTTCATGTAAAGAGAATGAGGGCTAACTGAAGCCAACTGTTTCAGTGCTGTGAGAATTAGAGGAAGATTCCCTTATTCATGGAATGGATCTCCCATGGTGAAATATGAGAAGCCAGGCACAAAATACATAGTTTTGAAAGACAGTGTTGGAGGGTGATTTGCATTGCTGGAAGCACTACTCTTAATGGAAAAGACGATAGAATCATTTGAGTTTTACATATAAAATCTTTATGAGAATAATCTACACATGCCTCTAGGACATCTCTAACCAAGGTATGAGAATGGAACAGCCAGATTCTTATAAAGGATATTCTGCTTGAGACATCTTTATAATACCACAAATTACTGAAAGGTACAAAGAATTTAAGATCTCATTCTGCTTATTGTTTGTGGACTATAAAAAAGCATTTGATTCAGTTGAGAAAAATGTCACCTTAAAAGGCTCTCCTTCAATAAGGGGGTCCCATGCAAATGGTAAGGTAAATTCTTTGAAGGATGTAATGAGAGATAATCTTATTTGACTGCCCTCTGATTATTTATGTCAAATGAGGTATGAAACAGGGAGACCCTATGCCCAGCAAAGATTTTTGCTGTTGTCATTCAGGATATCCAAATGAAAGGGGAATTTCCTATATACTTCACCTATATATGGTGAGGTCCTCCATGTTTTTGGATGACAGTGTGCTGACTGCATTAAGCCCTAAAACATAACTACACCTCAATGAGATCCATAATAACTTGTTCGGTTTAATTATCCACTTAGGAAAAATCAAGTGGATGAAGAATGTTCATTTAGCTGGACAGACAACTTATAGAGCTGGTTTATCAGTACGTATATTTTGGACAAAAACTGAACAGGTGGAGGAGAGAGGGTTGGATTGTGTTTTGGATACTGCACGGCGTTCTTAATGATCCAAAGATTCTTCCTGAAGCAAAGGCTCATCTTGTTAATATCAGCACTCTTCTGGTAATGCTATATGGCTGAGAACGATAGAATGTCAGTCTCTGAGGAATTAGAGTTGTTGCCCACCCACAAGACAATGACTGAAGTGCATGATAGGTGTGAGTAGGCTATAACGTATTACCAAAAAATTGCAAAGGAAAAGTGAAATAAAGTGTATTACCAGAGAAGGACATTGTCAGAAGAATATTTCCAGAGAAAGATATTTTTATGAAAGGATATGAACTGGTTATATGGTAAAAGTGAGGATGGATGGATGGACTCTGTTGGTGTCCAATACAATGTCAAGAGATCTAGGTAAAAGTCCCCAGCATATCGGATACATCCCAATGTAGATTAATAGGAGATGTGTATGAAAATAAACATATTTACTTCAGAATTAGACAGCCAATTCCTTCCACTTATGGTTCTGTAGCAGCAATTTCTGATCCTTTTTTGTTGCTGGTGGTGATCACTTCCTGCTCATCTCTGGCTGGTACTTCTTGGACAGGTATCTAAGCTGCTGTTTCGTCTCCCAGCGGTGCAATGCAGACTGAGCAGGTACCCTGTTATACCTTGAAGTCCCATCCTGTTCAAGATAAAACACAGAATGAATGTTATATGGCATACACTATAGAGAAAAACTAATTTTGTGAAAGAAGGGTCTTTAATTTTGTCCTTATGGTATGTCATATTAAAGCATCTGTGTCAGTTTTAGGTAAGTTTCAGAAAAATAGGAATATGAACTTGTATTATTTTTGAGAAAGAAAAAACCTACATCAGCAGTTTGAACCCACTATTCTCATTGTTTAAAAGGTCTATAGATTGGGGTATAGTTGGGAAGTAAAGATAAAGAAACATCTTTAGTAATTAGTTATTTAAAAGTGATCCAACATGAAAATTAAGATGCCCATACCGCAAAAGTCATGTCCTCCTTCCATTTATTGTCTTGCGGAAGCCGCTGTAACCGGTTTTTGCTAAGCTCCAGTTGTAGGCCATCAAACTTACACTTGAACCAGCGGTGAGCTTCTTCTAGGTTAGCTGTTATCTAGGAATGTGAATGACTGGGAGTCAGAAAAAAGGAATAGCCGTAAATGTAGCAATGTACTACTCTGACACAAAGTGTTTATTTGGGTAGAATGGGTAAAACTCTGAACTCAAGTGCCTTAAACCTTTTTTTGCATAACAGTTGACATATGGGCAATGATAACTCCTGATGAAGGTTGTATGTTGTCTTATACTATTAGCCTCTTTCTAACTTATTACTTCTTGTTGCCTTCTCAGATTATTTTTGTCCAAACCTGTGATTTCAGCAGTATAAGGAACTCTCAGTGTGGAAAACCCTTCCCTGACAGAGATGGGCAACTTGTTTCAAACTATAATTGTAGAGAGTTGCTCAGGACAGAAAGAAGCTAAAATGACTTGCTCACTGTTACACAGTTCACATGTGCTAGAGGGAGAACTCGAACTCATGTTTTCCTAATTCTAAAGCCAGCCCTGAAGGTACTGGAAGAGATGGGAAATAGAGTCACAATCTAGGGTTGCCTTCTCAGATAAAAGGCAGGACAGGTCTTAGAGTCAGAGTTCAAATCCTGCCTCAGATACTTAACAGTTAGGTTCCCCTGGGCAAATTACTTACCATCTCTGTATTAGTTTCTTCACCTGTAAAATGAGGAAACTGGACTTGATGACCTCTAAGGGATCTTTTAGTTCTAAATGTATGATATTTATACTTTTTCCAATTTCATAAATTTCCAAATTATCAATATTAACTGGGCAACCTATAAATAACTACTGCCTACAAAGTGGCTTTGGGCACGGGCTCTTCCAAGGCTCCACAAGAAGGTCAGCTCAGGTCTGCTCGGTAGTAGGCCCTCTTTTGCAAAGAACTAAAAGGATAGGTTTTCCTCTTTGAATCTTGATATATTGCAGTTACACTGTTTGCCTTGAAAGGACTGAGGATAAAGACACAGATAGGATTTTTTTCTTCTTTCTCCCAAGTAAACAGACAAGTCAAGGCCATATTACATACAAGTAATATTAACGATGATGTCTGATAGAAAGGTTTAAGTACTCACCATTAAGAACATGAGTGTAAGATAAAATATCACTGCTAGAAGACCAATGAACAAAGTCACTAATTATTGTCAACAAATAATTACATTAGTTTAAACTAGAGTCATCTGTCTTCTGTAATGCCTGTCAATAAATTAAGTCATCTCTAATTTTATTTTTTATCTCTAATTTTAGCATTACATATTTTGTAGTAGTTACTTGAGGCTAAGCATTTTTACATAATGATATGTTAATCAAGGTACAGGGTCTCACTAAACTAAAAAATATTTGGGATAGAAAATCTGCTCGTGGCTAAAGCCATTTGACTAAAGAGACTAACTCCTGTGTCTATCTTTTATGTCCATGCTTCTGGCTCACCTGTTCTGATTCCGCGCTGGCTTCTTTCAGTTTATGTTCCGTTACTTCTTTACATTTTCTTAGGTGTCTGATTGTTTCTCCCATTTCCTGCAGAGGAAAGTGATGCAAAGATCTTTTTAAAAAATGCCATTTCTGTTCATTGAGCAAGTAGCTTTGGCAGCAAACAGGCAAATAGTAAAAGTGTGAAAGGATAAGCCCTGCCAGTGAGATGGTTGCAATAAGGGGAGGAATTGTGATTGCTTCAGTCTGGCTGGGTCTGGCCTCATTTGCATGATCTCTGCTGGCTACCAAGAGAAAGAAGGTGATAGCTAAGTCGTCTGGAGCTTGGGGAGGTAATTCTTTCTTTATTTTTTTTTATAATTCTTTTTATTTATTTCATTAAATGTTTTCCAATTATATGTAATGTTTAAATAATCATTTAAAAAATTTTTTTTCAGGCAGCTGGGGTTAAGTGACTTGCTCAGGGTCACACAGCTAGCAAGTGTCAAGTGTTTTTGGTCTGAGGTCACACCTGAACTCAGGTCCCCCTGACTTCAGGGCCAGTGCTCCATCCACTGCGCCACCTAGCTGCCCCCATTTAAAAAAAATTTTGAGTTGAAATTCTTTCCCTTCCTCTTTCCCCTACACCTCCTTGAGAAAGCAAGCAGTTTGATATCAATTATACATGTGCAGTCATGCAAAACATATTTCCATTTTAGCCATGCTATAATAGAAAACATAAACAAAATAAAACAAAAATAAAGAGAGTTAAAAAAAAAGCACGCTTCAATCTACATGCAGAATACATCAGTTCTCTTTCTGGAGGTGAATAGCATTTTTCATTTTAAGTCCTTTGAAATTGCCTCAGGTTATTGTTTTGACAGTCTTTCATAGTTGATTATTCTTACAATATCGCTATTACTGTGTATACTTCTTCTGGTTCTGCTCACTTCATTTTGTATCAATTCATATAAATCTTTCCAGGTTTTTCTGAAACCAATCCTGCTCATCATCTCTTATATCACAGTAGTATTCCATCATAATCATATACCACAACTTGTTTATCCATTCTCCAATTGAAGGATATCCCCTCAATTTCTAATTCTTTGTCACCACAAAAAGAGATGCTATAAATATATATATATATATATGTATATATATATATTTACAAATGGGTCTTTTTTCCTTTTCTTTGATCTCTTTGGGGCAGAGACCTACTACTGGTCATGCCGAGTCAAAGGGTATGCATAGTTTTATAGCTATTTGGGCACTGTCTGAAATTGTTCTCCAGAATGGTTAGTCCAGTTCAGAACTCTACCAACAATGCATGTGTCCCAATTTTTCCACATGCCTTCCAGCACTTTTCATTTTCCTTTTCTGCCTTATTAGCCAACCTGATAGGTTTGAGGGAGTATCTCAGAGTTTTAAGAATTTGTATATCTAATCAGTAGTGATTTAGAGCACTTTTTTTTCACGTGCCCATTGATCTCTGATTTCTTCTTCTGAAAACTGCCTTGTTTCATATCCTTTGACCATTTATCAACTGGGAAATGGCTCTTTTTTTTTTTTTTACAAATTTGGCTCAATTTGCTATATATTAGAAATGAGGACTTTATCAGAGAAGTTTGCTGTAAAAATTTCCCCCAATTTTCTGTTTTCCTTCTAATTTTGGTTTTAGCTCTGTAAAATAATTTTTTGGTAATTTGATTGGTATGGCACTGAATAAGTAAAATTAACTTAGTTAAAACTGTAATTTTTATTGTATTGGTTCAGGCTATGCATGAGTGATAAATATTTCTCCAATTGTTTAGATCTTTATTTCTGTGAAAACTTTTGTAACTGTGTTCATATAATTTGTGGGTATGTCTTGCATATAGACAGAGGGAGGTAATTCTTTTTTTTAAGTGAAAATTTTTATATTTTATTTTTTCCAATTATATGCAAAAAATAATTTTTAACATTTGTTTTTTATTTTGAGTTCCAAATTCTCTCCCTTCCTCCCTCTTTTCCCCTCTCCTTGAGAAGGCAGTTTGCTATAGATTACACATGTGCAGTCATTCAAAACATATTTCCATATTAGCTATGTTGCAATTTAAAAAAAAACAAAAAAATAAAGTAAAAAACATTTGCATTTATATTTGCATTCAGACTCCATCAGTTGTTTCTCTGGAGGTGAATAGCATTTTTCATCATAAGTCCTTTGGAATTGTCTTCGATCATTGTATTGCTGAGAATAACTAAGTCATTCACAGTTGATCATCATAAATTATTGCTGTTACTGTGTACAATGTTCTCTTGGTTCTGCTGACTTCATTTTGCATCAGTTCATACGTCTTCCCAAGTTTTTCTGAAATCATCCTTCTCATTTTTTATAGCACAATAGTATTCTATTCATATACCACAATTTGTTCAGCCATTCTCCAACTGATGGGCATCCCCTCAATTTCCAATTCTTTGCCACCACAAAAAAGAGCTACCATGAATATTTTTGTACATATAGGTCCCTTTCCTTTTCTTCTGATCTTTTTGGGATACAGACCTAGTAGCAATATTGCTGGATAAAAAACTATGCAGTTTTATAGCCCTTTGGGCATAGCGAGGGAGGTAATCATTTTTTTTAATTCTCTTTTTAAAAATAATATTTTATTTTCCCCCAATTACATGTAAAGATAATTTTTAACATTCATTTAAAAAATATTTTCAGTTCTAAATTTTCTCTCTCCCTCCCTCACTGCCCCCCCCCAAATAGTAAGCAATTTGGTATAGGTTATATGTGTTCAATCATGCAAAACATATTACCATATTAGTCATGTTGTGAAAGAAGACACAAATAGGGGAGGTAATCCTTAAGAAGATAATAGGTAACCAAACCTTTTGGATATCTCAGATTGGCCCAAATAGAAATCATTACCTTTTCTTCAGAATACACTCCTGTACTGAACTTTCCTGTTTAAGTTGGGGTCCCATCTATTCTTGGAGTCCTCTAGGCTCATAACTGTGGTGTTAAACTCAAGCTTTTCATTCTCCTTCACTTCACCCAACTAATCAGCTGCCAAGCATTACTTTTACCTCCATAATATATGTTACACAGAACTCCTCTGTACTCATGCATCCATCCCTTATTTCAGGACTTCATCACCTCTTGTTTGGACTATTGCAGTTGCCTCCTAGGAAAGCTCAGGTCTCTCCACTTTCACTCCAAGCCATCCTATACAATATAGTCAACATTATTTCAATAAGCACAGAACTGACCATGTAAGTCCCCTACTGCATAAACTTGAAAAGGTTGTCTACAATAGGCGCCTCAGCTTCTCCTCTTGCTCTTTTTTTTTTGTCCTAAGTTTGGTTTACTAAGTGGTAAGTTTATAGCTAGGTGCACAGTGGATAGAGCACTGGGTCTGGTGGCAGGAAGGAATTCAAATCTGGTCTCAGACATTTACTAGCTGTGTGACCTGGGCATGTCACTTAACCTTGTTTACCTCAGTTTCCTTATCTGTAAAATACCCACTCCAACATCTTTGCCAAGAAAACCCCAAATGGGGTTATGAAGAGTCAGACATGACTGAAACAACTGAACAAGTTTACAGATTAATGTACATTAGAGGCAATGATTCAGTTGGAGGATACTGGACCTTCTCTAAGCAGCATGATGAAATCTACCAATAGTATGGTAGAAGTTTTGACCTTTTTCAAGAACTTGGCTTTTCTGGCCGGCAAAGGTAAGCCTGTGCATCTCTTTGTGTTTCTGCACCAGTCTGGTGATCCACCACATGTCAGGGTTTTGCCCGATAGCTTTATGAAATGAGTCACTAAGAATAACCTAGAAGAATTTACAGGTTGAATCTTCACCCACCCAGCAGGAGTCTAGGACTCTTAGGGCCCCACAGTGGCATCCAGCATTCTGAAGGCTCCTGGCACACTTTAGCTGACTGACTCCATGATGCACAGTTTTACCATAGACTGCACCCTCGGGAACTGGAGGTGAACACAAATCTGGTAGATGACATAACCTTGTTTAGTCTTGTATCCCAATTTGTGAGTTTTATCAGGCCTGGTTGGCCAGGGAGCTCTATGGAGGGAAAATAACTGGTGGCATTGCCAGCAATGGACCTGTAAGAGGAACTGCGTAACATCTGACTGTTTCTTCCTACAGAATTCTTGGATGCATTTCTAAGCCCCCACCCTGGCTTACACCTGATACCTTCCATCAACTGGAAAGGAAGAAGGCACCTTCACACAATCTTACTCTCTTTTTAACTGTTTACTGCCTAGCTTCTGACCTCATCATTCAAAACTACTCTTTCCAAAGTTACTAATCATCTCTAAATAGCCAAATCCAATAGCCTTTTCTCAAATACCTGTGACACCTGTGAATACCTCTCTGCTACCTTTGACAATTATCCTCTTTTCCTTGATACTCTGTTCCATGTTTTTGTGACCCTATTTGATCCTAATTCTCCTCCTACCCATCTGACCTTCTCAGTCTTCCTCGCTAGATTTTTGATCAGGTCACACCCACTTGTGCACTAGCTATGGATGTCTCCCAAGGCTCTATACTGGGTCCTCTCTTCTTCTTCTTCTATACTATTTTATTTTGTGACTTCATCAACTCCCATGTATTGAATTATCACCTCTATGTTGATGATTCTCAAATAACTACCCAGCCTTAGCTTCTCTGCTGATCTCCAGACTCACATCTCTGCCTATGGGACATCTAGAACTGGATGTCCAGTAGACATCTTAAATTCAATCTGTCTAAAACAGAATTCCTTATCTTTCCTTGCATATCCTCCCCTCTTTCTAACTTCTCCATTACTCTCTAGGGCACTACCATATTTCCAGTCACTCAGTCTCCCAACTTAGTTGTTATCTTCAACTCCCACTTTATCTCAACCCCCTACCCCATTCATTCTGTTGCCAAGGCCTGCCCATTGTACCTTGGTAACATTTCTTATGTCTACTCCCTTTCCTTCTCTGACACTGATACTACCCTGGTACTGGCCCTCATCACTTCACAGCTGGCTTATTGCAAAAGAATGCTGGTTGGTCTCTCTGCTACAAATCTATCCTCTACTCAGCTGTCAAAGTGATCTTGCTAAACCACATCA